ATTTTTCCCCGGGACTCAATTTACCGACTTCAAAATGCATCAAACTTATATCGGACTAAATTTACCTAGCCCCGTAAAAACGATGTTATGTTAAMTTTAATTAAGTACAATAATAAATAACAAATTATAAAAATAATAAAAATAAATATTTCGAAGATTAATCTATCAGTGTTCTGTTTATGAAATAGTAATTTATATTTTATATCACAATAAACAGTAGTTTAAACGCGTTTTGACTACTAATAAAATTAGAGTAGAATATATTATGTTTATAAATATATAATACGTATTATAAGTATTTGTTGACTCGTATACTATTTGTATCAATACCTAATATATTATGGATATATCTATTTAATATTATCATATTATATAGATACTATATAATATACGTATAAATATTAAATATATTATTATATATGTATGTATATGTTTATAAATTGTACATGTGTGCGTATTGATGACATATCATATTATTATCTTTGAACCCTCTTTAAGGTTCCATTTAGATATAGTATATCTGTATATGTATAGATATATATAGACTATCGTATATATTCCTAATCATTGACGATAATTCCTTCAATATAATAAAACTCTTATAACTATATTGAGAAGCCCTTAAAGCGTAGATAGAGCAGTGTTATAGTACAATCTTGAAATAAGGATTTTGAGTTTAAAATGTTTAGTCCGTTCACTGTTTAATTTAAATGAACATAGTTTAATAGCTGCGTGTAATAATCACGAAAAAACACGATCCGTTATGTTTAGAGAGAAATTCCGGGGTTAGATATTATATTAAACTACATTAAATATAGTTATATGTAAGTATTTAAGTATTACGTGTATACTATATACAGTATATTGAACAGGTATAATCGGGTAAGTACTAAGTAGGACAGTAAGTAACTCTTATATTTATATTACTTACTTAYTTCTTTTGCTATTAAAGAAATATCTTGCAGGACGAAAAATAAAACTACTTATATACTATATTTACAAATATAGCGATATTTYGACGGTATCTAACTTATTGCGAAAATACACCTAAATATAATAAAACCTCCAGTACATTTTCCAAACTTAATCCTCAATATTATCATTTGAAAAACCAAAAAATAAATCAAAACACTTACACTATCTAATAATAGTTTATGGAAAATAAATCTTAAAAGCATATCAAATTCAGTATAGCATGTGGAAATAATCCTCTATTTAATATAATATAGGTATTGTACTATTGTACTACAAACAATTGTAGGTATTGTATTGTATACCATGGGCGTACTTTTAACCAAGTATTTTTTTACTGGATTTCACAGGAGAGCAAAAACAAAGTTTAATATAATGCACTTTCTTGTGAATAAACTAAGATTTTCATGTGTCGACGGGTGAAATAATAATATAACTCACGTTGACTGTTGATGGAATTGTATAGATTCCCTCAATTCTATATTCAACCCGAATGGCAAATACGCAATAATTTGACAATAGTATTCCAAACACAATCAACGAGCGATGGTTATAATTTATGCATAATATTCTCTGATAATATAAAAGTGCGTTCCTTCATTTCATGGTATTCTAATTATATATATTATAACCGAACGTGCCCTGATTGCAGATCAATGTAGAGCCTAAACGCCCTAAACTATGTTTGCTATACACTTGAAAACTGTATGATATATTTATATTGCCACAAAAGGGGGGTACTAAGAAGTAAAGAATTAGGAAGGACTTTCCAAATTTCACATTTTAAAGAGGTGCTCACACTAGGATTTTGAGATTCACGATGGAAATCTAATCTTTTATTTTGCTTATATTTCTGTTTTAATGAGTCATTGGTTGTTAATTTTAATAATGTAATACTAGTATAAATTAGTATATTAATTGTTTTACCACTAATTGATTGAGCAGATGAGGTAAAAGTATTGATCAAATCGTCAAGTTCATGACCTCAAATAGAGAAATTATGTCTTAAAAAAATATAAGAGTTTATTTATAAAAATATAAATATTATATGTATTATGTTCGTGGCTTATATGACACAGTCCTCGATAGTGGCCAGTACAAAGTACAAGCACAAAGCGGTCCGTCAACTAGGTCCAACCACATTAGGCGTCATTTAGTCTCAAAAACGACTCGAMYGATTTCGATGAAAAACTCAGAGATTTGTTCTTAGACATATCAAGAAATTTTAGGGGGTCGTTTGAACTATTGTTCGAAAATATACCAAGAGCTAAAATAATATCTAAACTGAGGTAAGTACACTAAAATTGAGATACACCAATATAACGCTGCAATCTATATACCTAATATTTGTCATTTTTTTTCGCTGGTGAAGTCGGGTTATATAGCTAATAATTATAATATATGGGTAAAACTTCAAACCGYGTTTGTGGTAAGAAAATAACTGTGATGATCGACACTGAAGAAAATATGATTCTATATTCACACAGGCCGGTCGCATGTGATGGTTACGGATTTTTAATTGAGCTGGGATACTATAATGCCCGAATCTGGTTAGACTCCGTAGTAAGCGTTTTAATTACGTTCCCTGATAACTAATTGAGGGCATATTATTAAATATTCATATGACAAACATATTTTAAGTATATTAATTGCATTTACAAAACGTATAGAATGATAGATCCCTACTTAATGATTATAAATAAACTTTATGATCGAAAAAGTTTTAACTTCAATATGATTTTGTGTGTTCAAGAATGTTTACGCACTTGAAAGTTACAATTAGAATTGTAAGTATTATAATGGTTAGGATTAATATTTTTGTTGTAAAAAAATTATATAGTTTATTCTTTGCTTAAGAATTCAATATTTTCAATAAAATAACTTTCATCAATTACAATAAAAACTCATACAATATAGGTACTGTGTTGTTATAAATCGTAAAATAAATATTGCATTAACCCAAACAAATATACAATGTTCATAAATTAAAATTTTAACTCTCACTCAATAAGTACATTTTTAAGATAGAAAAAAACTTAATTCGAGTTAAATTGATATATTTGAATATAAAAGCGTACAATAAAAAAAAATAAAATGTGTTATAACTATTAAGTTGATGTAGTTTTGTTAATTTAATTGTTATACTAAAATATGTTTGCTAAGTCCGTGAATATTTAATAATGTGCCAAAGCAGTTGTGCTATATGGCAGACGACGGCGTCTAACTGGGCTGCTCAAACAAATTGAAAGAAATCAACTCAAATTGTCCAAAAATAAATAGCAAAAAATATTTGATGTGTTTTTGATAAAAAATGTCATAGTATCATTTTATCGTTGTAAATATAATGGTATAGCCTACCATTGGTAGCCTACCTAGATTATTTTTTTATTTATTTTTTATTTTTATATTTATAATATATCACACATTAATGGGTACGTCGTTACGTTGTAATAATAAAGTTTTTTATGGTTTTAGGTGTAGATAACAATAGATACTATAGATAGTATATAAACCAATGTAGCTAATTCAACTCTTTAAATTATGGAAGAGAGCTTGGCATGTTAGAAGGTATTGTAATGGTTAGCTTTTCTTGGGTTAGTTATAATTGAATAATATCACAATTATATTATGCGTGTGTGTATTAAATATATATGTAATTGAATTCGGAGTGTCGGAACTATAAATAATCGCTATAAGTAAACGCTAACAGAAAAAAAAACACAATTATCTAACCCTGACATTAAACTCGCATCAAAGGATTATAATTTTATTTTCTAACATTTTAAAGCATTGAGTATGTGAGTGTCAAGTTATTTTTAATTATAGCATGTAGGGACTGGTCAGTGATTCTCTACTGCCTAGTCATAATATAGTGTTTGAAGACATTTGAATTCCAACTCTGTTATGGTTGCAATGACAATAATTACTATTGTATTACAGTCTTACATTGTTGTACGATTCCAAGTATAACCGACTTAATCGAGTTTAGTATATTTTACTAAGTAGAATGTAAAGTGTAAAGTATTGCTAAATGATTAAATCACGCACAAACATTTTATAAGTAATACTCATAACTTCGTAAGTAGGTACAATTCATTTTGATGTGACACTTTAAAGTTAAAAACGATAACTATTTACCTATAATATACAAAATTAGTGTACTAATTCTATGTTAATTGTTTTATACAATATTATACTATAATTGTAAAATAATATTATAACGTCTCGCTGTCTCAGCATTCAGTATATCCATGGATATCACTGCCATGATAAGTTAAAATAGAATGTAGATATCTCTTGTTGAGATACAGCAAATAATGTTTTTAACTCCCATAAATCAAGTCTTAAAAAAAGTGTCTATACAAAAAATTTATCAAAACTTGTGCTGATATATTTAAATTTAGATCTAACATTTGTGAACACCTTTTATTTTAACTTTTTTGAGTTTTTAAAGAGAAAATTGACTTATCCTGAGATAAATATCGAAGTAGAAACTAAGCGAAAAACTGATAACTCCAAAATAATATGGACTTACCAAATTATCGCTTAGACTTTTAGGACATGCATTGTTTATTTATTATTTTTATTTAAAAAATAATTATCTATAACCCTAGTTTAGTCTATACAATAACTTTAAGTCTCTTTAATTAATTATTAAAAAATATCTATAAAATAATTTAATTTTTTTTATACCTAACTATTAAATTGTTAATAAATCAAAATAAAACAATGAGCATACTTTTTAATAGGTTTCGTCAAACTTATGATTACATTTCGTCGTCGGTTTGAAATAGTATTTATGTATTTAAATTAATATATTATCTGATTATTAATAATGAATTATAAAGTTATAGTTATTAATAATTTATATTATAATGTGATTCCTAATTTTATTGATTACTAACCTGTGCACAGCAAATGCAATTTAAACACTTAAACTCAATTTAAAGTATATAAGTATATTTTTAACTATGGGTTTGGTCCGTATTATTATGATAATAAATGTGATACGGTGCGTCCGGTTGGACGACCCGTGTCGTGAATAAAAAGACTGTTGTATTCAGTAATTAGTTGTTTCTATTGCTATGTATAAAATAATTATGTTTACAATTTATAGGGTCGAGAAAAGTGTCGATTTGTGTCGACCAGACTTAATTAAGTGAGTCGACACAATCGGAGGCACTTAGGCGTATGGTCGGGCTAATGCCGGACCCTATCTTTACAATATTAGGAATGTCAATATGCGGTTAACATAACATGTGTAGGCTARGGAGTCGGCCGTCGTCGGTGCAGACTTAAATCAAAGCGGCACTCCGACGGCGAACCTGGCTCGGGTCGGACAACTTAATTAAGTGCCGATGTAATCCAGTGATGGCCCTGAAAAGGGCCCTTTTAATAATCGCGTTAGCGGAACGGCGATGGATCAGCGATTGGCGATGTTGTCGACGGTGTGGTCTGCCGGGGCCGTATCGTCGTTGATCTTGGGCATCCGACGCTTATAGCCGTACAGCGGCGTCGTCGGATGGATGTTGATGTAGCGGCGATGTTGTCGACGGCCGATGCTTGAGCGACGCCGTGTAGCAGCGGTTCGTCAGTCTTCGGCGATTGGACGATGTTAAATGCCGTGTGGCGGCGTAGTATTCGGTCCGCGGCGGCTGGGCGATGCTAATTGCCGTGGAGCGGCGTAGTGATCGTTCTTCGGCGGCCGGTTGTTGATAATTGCCGTGTGGCGTCGTAGTTGTCGGTTCTCGGCGGCGGACGATGACAATTGCCGTGGAGCGGTCTGGTCGTCGATCGTCGGCGGTCGGTGGTMTGGTCTGGTGTCTGGTCTTGGTCCTTCTTCTATCTTGTTGTGCTTGATGGATGTTGATAGTTTGAAGGTTTGGAAAAGACTGACTAAGTTATCGAAATCRTCCGGTATATATACCCATTTCGATAACTTAGTCCGTCGCTGATTGGCCCGAGCCTCTGTTGTGACAGATGAAAATCACACCGTTGTGCTGCCGTTCGCCTTTACTTGGTGTGGTTTTCATCTGTCAAACCGCTTCGTTTTTGGTCAATTAGTGGTCTTGATAAAGACCTTTTTATGTCTCGGTTTATTCCGTAACAAATGATAAGGATAAGCAGTGATGATCATGAGACCATATACTTAACTATATCAGTTTAATAAATTATAAAATAATAATATACCATAATCATTTAAATTATAAAATACTAGCTATATTACCCGTCGTTGCCGGGTTTATTAATTGTTGTTATCTGGTAAGATTAAATATTGTCTAGTTAAATTAAATTTAAATAAGATTGTTTAAAAAAATACGTCATATTATATTAATTGTTTATTAAGCTGATTTTTATCGATAATATAATATTTCTCTATAAGCTACATTAGATGTAATTCGTGTTGGACTCTGGACCATGCCACATACAATTGACCATGTGAAAACAATATTCTCTTATATCGATCCTTGTAAATTTTAAGGTTTGCCCTTGTGATTTGTTTATTGTCATGGTAAAACATACTTTTACAGGAAACTGCATTCTCTTGAATAGGAAAGGATAATCAGATGGTATCATTGGTATGAGAGGAAAAAGAACTGATTCAACTTTTGCAGATCCAGTCATAATAATAGCTTTAATCAAATTCTTTTGTAGACTAATCATCCGTAGACGTGTCCCATTGCACAATATTGGTGGACTAAGATTTCAGAAAATCATTTTATATTTATTATATCCTATAGGACAACCAATTTTTAACATTAATAAAAGTAGTAGAAATTCAGGAGGGTTGAGTGAATTGAGAAATCCAACTGGATAATTAACTGCATCATCTACTTCCAGCACTGAATTCACTGATCTGTATTCCATAATTTTTGTTTTGAAAGAGTCCAATAACATTTTGTTTATGTCTCCTGCTATATCATTTTTTGATGTCAATATGGCCCTCTCACATAACCATATCAATTGATTTATCTTTGATGTTTTCGATGCCTGGATATATTTTGTCTGTGAGTTCCTTTATAGTTTTTACAACAGTAAATAATCCGATCGGCAAAGTAATTTTTTCTTCATATTCCGGATATTTTCCATCTTCTATTTTTAAGAGTGACTGAAAATTGCTTAGCAGTCCTGTCTCCTTTTATATGTACTCGCATATTTATGGTCAAAGAAACTTTTTCTTTTAAAGGCCACAAATATAAAGACTTGATACAGGCTGCAATTTCATTAGGTAGCTCGAGTTCCTCTTGGTATGACTGGTAGAGTTTGTCGAAAATCTCTAGCCAACAGTACCGTGACTCCTGCCATCAATAAATTCGAATTTTTCAGATCTTTCAGACAGTTGTTTAAAGCTTCAAATCCTTTCTTATGAGACATTGGACTTTCATCCCAAACTATCAGCTTGTATTTTTCAAAACTTTCGCCAAATTTGATTGTTTATTAATATTGCACGTTGGGGTCTCGATGGTGTTCAAATTGAATGAAAACTTGAAAGCAAAATAAGCAGTTTTTCCTCTATGTAAAAGCGTAGTAGCAATTCCTGATGATGCAGCTGCAATTGCAATCCCATATGAGCTTCTTACTTTAGTCAAAAGTAGATTAATTAAGTGGGTTTTACCGGTTCTACCAGAAGCATCGAAAAATATACGTTTTCCTACATTTAATACGATGCTATTTAATATTTGTTTGTAAACAAACCATTGTTCCTCAATTAATTAGTGTTCATTTTGCTTAACAATCTCGCGTAAAGCAATTAAATCATAGCTTGCTTCTTCTAAAGCTAAATTCTATTGATTGTCATCTTTTAATAATCTAAGGGCTCTACATGTTGCTTGAAATGTCGGATATTCGGTGTAGTTCACAGTCTTCAAAATTAAGACGATGTTGGGCCTTTTACGTGATGAAGAAGAAGACGAAGATAGTAACATTCAACATTCTTTGGGTAGATTGTATAAAATCTACCCAAAGCTGTATCTTTCTTAACTCCTAACCAACCCACGACATTCTGGCCATTATGTCTAACAAATTTCTTATTTATCCACACATAATACGAAGCAACTTGTGGATAAACCAATGTTCTTGAAAGTCATCGGTTTGACATATCAGAAAAAAAGCCTGAAGAGTAGTTGTAAGTGGATTAAAAACATAAAAAGTTTTTTTTAAGTTTTGTAGATCGACCGCCACTTTACACACATAATGTATTAATTGGTTTAAATGTTTAGCATCAAATATCGACATTTAAAAAAAAATCTATCTAATTGACAATTTACAGTAAAAGAGAGTACTTCTCTTTGAAAAATAACTGTGTTATTTCAAAGCCCCGCTTAGCTCTACAAATTTGAGGTAGTTATGATCATAATTATTACTTTAGATTTTTTAATTCATGGTTAAAATATCAAATTTTCAATTCTTATTAATGTGAAAAACAATATATATACTTATATAATAAACTTATGCGTGCTGATGAGAGAAAGTATATTTTGTATTCTAAAACAAAGTTGGACATTAAAAACTATTTTAATTATTTTAACACTGAGTGACTGAGCGTATAGTATCGTAATCACATACCAATAGGCCTAACCAGTTGGGCCGACAGTGATCAAAACCAGAAACTGATTTAGTTAGACACATTGCATTCGTTATTACAGCGATGACGTGGCTACTTCGTATTTTTTTCTAACGATAAAAATAAAATCGTTAATGTTGTCTTACTATAGTAAAATCATCATAATATTGATTATGTTGATTAAATAATACAATAATGTCAAGAACGGAAAACGGTAAAATGCCTATTAATTAGTGATGGATGATTGACGTCGATTACATGGAGATTATTAAAATTATTTTGTTACTATTGACTATGACTCTGAATTTTTTTTAAAAAAAGCGGGTAAGTCGTGGATGTCGCTCTGCTGTACAGTAGGTTACAAGTGGGTTACCTACTGTAATGAATGAAATTAAATTTGAATCCAATGATATTATATCATTGTATACGAAAAACGATTCTGAGCGGAGACGGTTTATCTGTCTAAGATATAATATAGATTATTAAAAATTTTCAAATCTTGAGATTTAAAAAGAAAATTTTTTATGTATTTCTAGCTTAAAATAATTTACAAATTTTCGTGATTTTTACGTATGTTGTCAAAATTCAAACTTTGAATGCTTATAAAAAAAAATTGTGACTATATATTTCTTTTATTTTTCAACTGCTATTG